TTGCTCCACCCCTGTTTTATTGCTTTCTCTGCTTTCGCCCGGTTCCCGTCCCGTTTCGGCGGGGAGTCTATGTTGCAAGCTAGTTCTTGCTTTACCAGACTTTAAGCCCACACAAGCAAGCCTACTCCATGAAATCATCCCCATCAACCACCCTTTTCATCCGCATTTGTGCGCACCATGGGCCCCTGCTCGTCCAGTCCCGCCCAGCGCCTGATTATGCCGCGCTGCCCTGCCGGCACGCTGGTTGGGAAGCCCTGCAGGATGAAGGCGGTCCTTGCACCTAGGTCTGCCAGCTTGTGGGAAATGGTCTTGTAGTTGCCGTCGTGACCAAACCTGGAAGCCCAGCAAGGCGTGCACATGAGACTGTGTGCGGTGCAAAGTACAAGGATGCAGACCGACCTGCTGCACCACACACCTGTCAGGTCCACCAGCCTGCGCTGGCCATCCAGCCGCAGGTCAGTGTCAGCCAGGCATTCGGCGTTGGGTTTGCCCCGCTCTGCCGCCTTCAGCACAGTGAACCCGATGTCTTGCAGCTCCTGCCAGCTCAGGTAGAAGAGCTCGGCACGCTTGACTTCTACTTGCAGCTGGAAAACTCCCTGCGAGAGAGGTGAATGAGCAAAAGTGTTCAAGCGCTCAGACACTGACAGCAAGCGGGCGAAGGCAAGCGGGCACCTACCTGGCACGATGACAGCTGAGGTTCAATATTGATGGTCCACTTGTCGGAGCCGCAGCGCGCTAGTGGCGGTTCAGCTCCCATGTTGAAAGAGGCATCCGAGTGCGACAGGTAGCCTGTCGGGTGCGCCTCGAACTTGCCAGTCACACGCCTGTCTTCTTGAAACATTGGCAGCTGATGCGCCCCCGCCTGCTGCTGCTGGGCTGCATCTCCTCCGCTGCAGAACAGGAACAGCTTGGCTTTGCGGTCTGGCTGGTCAGCATGCAGCGCTAGCAGCCGCACGGATGCCTGACTCGCCAGCCGCTGGTGGGCACCGCTCTGCGCCAGCGCTGCATCCTTGCTGATGCTGTAGATGTCCTCGCCGCGCTGCTGGCACAGCTCGGCTGCCCGTGTTGGGCTGCCCCCCAGGACTGCCCTGGCAATGGTAAACTCGCTGTCGTCGGCCCTGGGCGGCATTGTTGTATCTGTGGCACGGCTAGGCTGCCTGTGTTTTGTACAGGCTGACGTGGCGCTTGTCGCAATTGGAAAAGTGCTGGAATTGAGGCCTTGGACGTTTTCGCATCCACGCTTGCTGACAGCTTGCTGACAGACGATGTCGCACCCGGCAGCCCTGGCGGGCCTGCTGCTTCTCGCGGCGGCGGGCAGTGCCCAAGCTCTCCCACGGTCTCTGCTCCAGGTGGGCTTGAGGAGCAGCACAGGCGCGAGTGCAGGGGAGTCTTCTGTGACGCTCCAAGGCAGCAGGAATGTCTGATGAGTGGGAACCAGCGAGTGCTGATGCCGCCGTAATGGCAGTGCCGCAGGCGGCTCCAGCGGCAGAGGAGGTTGGTGCCGGGCAGGCGACTGCCTTCACTGTGGCCTACGGAGGCTATGACAACTACTACCGAAGCGATGACGTGGTGGCAGGCAGGTGGCACATGTGCCCGTGAGCGCATATTCAGCTGCGCAAGATGCTCTTTGCTCCTGCAGCCAACCCGGCATCTCCACGCCTGCACCCTCGTCCTTTGCAGGCGTGCTGCTGCTCACCCAGCCGGGCGTGCGGCTGCCCGACGGCGCGGGCGTGCGCTTCCTGGCTGCCTTCCCCGATGCCAACTCCGGAGCAGGTGGGGCGCCCGCTCGCCTCCCAGCCTCCCAGCCCGCCACCCGCCTGCACCTGTTTGCCCTGACCCAGAGCGCCGCTGCTTTGCCTGCGCAGTTGCCTACTTCAACGCCACCGAGGGCCCCTCCACCGACCTGGTCATCGAGCTGGACAACACAACCTTCACCAGCACCATGGGCCCAGGCAACACTGTGGGCCTCACGGTGGGCGTGCCGGTGGCAGCTCCAGCCAGCGGCAGCTCCCGCCGCATGGCCGCCGCAGCGCTCCTGCTCAGCAGGCCTTGCACGCATGGGCCGGCTGCCCGTTCAAGGCACCAGCCAGGCCAACAGGCTGCGCGTGCTGCAGGGCACGCTGGTGTTCAACCGCAATGCCACGCTGTACCGCGCCGTGGTGGGCAGCATCCGCACCGTGCGCGACTATGTGGAAGGTGGGTGGGGCCTGGAAGCCTGCCGACCCCCCGTACCTGGCCTGCACGGGCTGGCCCTGCCGCGATCGCGAAACTGAGCATGCTAGCACCAGACGTGGTGCCTATATGCAGGCCCCCGCATCATCCGCCCCATCTTTGCTCACACCACTACCCAGCAGGACAGCTCGGTGGTGCTGCACAGGTGCTGCTTGCGGTGGGCAAGATTGGGGATGCCCCTGTTGAGGCATACCTCCCGGTGCCTCGTTGTGGCAGCGCTGTTCATCTCCTCCTTGAGTCATGCTGGCTGAGGCATTCATGCATTCAGGGAGTACATGAACGGCACAGGCTCCAACACGCTCGTCTTTGCACCGGCAGACGACTCTACCGAGTGAGGGAGCAGGCCTGGCGCACTGAGCTGCACTGCATGCTGTGCGCTGTTGGGGAGCCCAGCAGGCACCTGATCCTCGCAACCTGGCGCCAGACAGCTGAACAAAGCAAGCAAACGCCGGCCCTTGCCCTCAGGCTGACGCTGCTACCCGATGGCAATTTCACTGTGGGACTGGTCCCTGGTGCACCCGAGGGCCGAGTGGCCTTCACAGTGCTTGTGAGCTGGTCCCCGCACCTGCGTTCTTTCCAGCCCGACCAGCTGCTGGCTGAAGGTCAGCGCGGCATCGCAAACACCCCGCAGGTCACACAGGTCAGGCTGAGCTGGGGGGGGATTGTGCTCCACAGAGCGAGCCTGCATGGCGTAGCAGATGCTTTGTTGGTGTATGCTGATCTGCCCGCCTTGCTGTCCCGCTGGCTGCAGCTCAGCTTCCTAACGTATCCAGAGAAACTGCTGGCGGGCAGTTGGCGCTTCCTGACCTACTTTGGCAGGCGGGTGGGGCGTATGCGGTTGATGGGTGCCCACACTGCCTTCTGCTGCGCACGTGATGCGGTTGCATTCATCTGTTGGCATGCCACCTGCAGGGACAGCCTGATCGCTGCACGCCTCATGATGAGCCGCCTGGCCTCTGCGGCCACCGAGGCGGCGCTGGGCGCGGCCCTAGGTGAGCTTATTCTTGTTTTTTTATTCTTCTTTTTTTTCTTTTCTTATTATAAATAATAAGAATTATAATTAAAAAAACACTTCTATTATGAAAAACACTTCTATTGCTAAACACTTATGATTCTTGGCCGTGTGCATCATCAGCAAACGCATGCGTGCTGCGCCCGCCCGTCGCTGCGCAGCCAACCTCAACCTCCAGCAGGGCTACTATCAGTACAACGGCCAGGACTTCATCCCGGTGGGCACCGTGTGCCACGAGGAGACTCTGGGTGAGCGCCCCCCGCCTGTGGATGCAAGCTGGCATTGTTTGACCGTCGCAGCGGCATCCCCGTCAGCGCCGTTCCTGACCCGGCTTTCTGCTGTCCTGCCACTTCCGCCGGCATGCAGGCGACTATGCCAGCTGGACCAACATCCAGGAGGGCACCCCCGAGCTGGGTGGCAGGCTGTGGTGCGATTACAAGATGATTGACACCGACTTCCTGCTGCTTCCCTTTCTGGCGCAGTACTTCCTCAACACATCTCAAGGTATCATGTCCATGCTACATGCTGCTGAGGTCCTTCACGCACCAAAGGCTTGACCTGAGCTGACGTGTGCAAAGCAAAAGCCTGTCGTGCTGTTGTTGTGCGGTGCAGGAGCCGACCGGGCACCTGCCTTCCTGGAAAGCACGGTGCCGCCTGCTGGCGGCACGGCGCTGAACCTCAACAGCGCCTATGGTGAGGCTGGGCTGTTGGGTGTCTTCTGCGAGGGTAGACGAGGGTTGTCAGTCGTCGCAAACGGCAGTTCCATGGTCACTTCGGTTTTGCAAACACTGCCTCGGGCCACCCCGCAGGCGAGCTGCTGGATGCCAACGCCAACCTGGTGCTGGAGCTGGCCCGCCCCTTTGCCACCAACCAGACCGTGGACACCCTCATCAGCCTCCGCCCAGGGCAGCTGGTCGGGTGCGCTGCCAGGCTCCTGAGCAGCCCATTCATGCAGAGCCCAAGTCCAGATGCTCTCTGCATGTCATCAGCGCCAGGCATGCCCGTGTGCTCCCCCTCGATTGCCCTTGCAGCAACTGGCGCGACAGCGAGGCGGGGCTGGGAATGGCCACCATCCCCTATGACGTCAACACCGCCCTGGTGCCCGCCGCCCTGCGCGCCATCCAGGTGGGCGCATGCCTGCAGCTGCTGGCATTGGCGCCCAGTCATGTGCTGGCTGCGCTGCTGCGCGCCTGTGCTCCTCGAGCTCCTGCCGCGACCCCTGCCTCGGCCCCGGGCTACCCCATTGCAGGAGCTGGCGGCCGCCGGCATCTTGGACCCTGCCATGGAGGCAGAGGCAGCTGAGCTGGCGACGGTATGGGAGACCCAGACTGCGCCCTTCTTTGAGATCACCGTGCCAGCCGCAGAGGTGGGCAGGACTTGAGTGGATGCTGGCTGGGGGGTAGCAGATTCAGGGACCTCTCAGGTTAGGGACGGAGGAGGCTGCTGCTGCCAACGGGGCCACGCGCCGGGCTCGCAGGCAGAGGAGATGGTCGGCGCCTACAGCCGCGACCTTGGCGTCCCGTCACCCGTGACACGCCAGGCTGGCAGTACCGCCGCAAACCTCACCTTCTACGCGCTGGCGCTGCACCCCAACGGCACCCAGGCGCGCTGGAGCAGCTGGGGCACCGCGAAACCCTCGGCTGCAGTTGGATCTGACGTGTGCGACCGACCGTTGATCCTTCGCCATGCCTTGTGGCGGTCGATGCAGGTGCCTGTGATGCACTCCGACGTGGGGTTCAACCTGCTGTACCAATCCAACGTACCCGAGGAGATCATCCGCTCCGTCCCCACCCTGCTGTCTGAGTTCCCCGGCGGCCTGCTGACGCCCGCAGGTCGGGGTGCGGTGCAGACTGCCGAGCACGCCGCCCACGGCCGACTGCCTGCCTTTCCTTGCCTGCCCTGCCTGCCAAGCCAGCAGGCTGCCTGTTCAGCTGGCTGAGCTTCATCACATTGCCGATGAAGAGCTTCCATCGCCTGCCTTTGCCACTGTCGAAAGCCCGAACGGTGCATCTGCAGGCATGGTAGTTGCCAACCCGGCCTACAGCGCCCTGGCGTCGCCGCCTGTGGCCAGGCAGCTGTATGCCAACACCAGCGCCGGGGCGTATCATGGCACAGTCGTGTGGGGATTCCAGCAGGCGTTGATGGTGGAAGGTGCGTCTGGTGTTGCTGAGTGCCGGCGTGAAGTTTTTTTTTTTTTTTTTCTTCTTCTTTCAAAATAAGTGTTGTTGTTTAGTGCGCACGGCCGGCATGTTTAAGGCGACTCCACGCTGGATTGCCGCTCCTCCCACCCGCAGGAGTGGAGCGTCAGCTGGCCCTGTGCCAGTCGGCCTCCCCGCCCGACTGGTGCGACGACCAGAACCTGGTGGATGAGCTGAGGGCCGCACTGGACCGTCTGTGTGGGGTCATCACCAGCAACCCGACAGTCGCCTTTTCAGAGGCGAGCCCGGCTGCCAGCTGGCTCGGCACCATGCACTGAGCTTGGGCTGGGCCACAGCTGCAGCTGAACATCGCCTGCTTGTTGATAAACGTGCCAGTGGTTCGGAGCAAGGCTGTGCGAGAGGGACATGGCACCACCGACCCCAGCTGTGCCCTGCAGGTGGGGAGCCGGGTGTGGGAGAACGGGCGCTACCGCGGGGCCCCCCCTGGCAAAGCCTCCGGCCACCAGCACCGAAGCAATGCCCATCCAGGCAAAAAGGCTGGGTGTCTTCCCTTGGGCCTGGTGCGTTTGGTTCCCCCGGGCTCTGGCTTCCCAGGCACGGCAAATTCAATGGCAGTTGCGCTAAGCCCTGTCGTCGAAGCCCACCTGCCCATACAGCTTTGAAGCTACGCCTTCTTCGCCACTCCCAACCCGTCGGGCACTGGCACCCTGCTGGAGAGTTGAGAACCTAACGGAGCACCAAGCCTGAGAGATGGGACGATTGCTGCTGACAGCGTCTGCCTGGCGCTAGCACCTGCACGCTGGGGCCACTGGTGGAGGCGATCACAAAATTGAACACATCACTTCCGCCACCTGCTGCTTGTCTGGTTGTGGAGACAGCAGTCCTGCCAATGCTTTACAGAGTTCACAGCCATTACGGCAAGGCATGGGATGAATCAGACTAGGTGTAGCATTACGAGCTGACAAGCTCACACAGGAGGTGCAAGCCACCGCCGCGAGCGGCCGCAGTGGACTGCACCGCTGCGGCTGCCCCATTTCCGCTGGCAGCTCTGTTCCGCACACGTCCAGCCACAATGGTATGTAGGTCGCAGTTAGTATATGCAGGAAGCAGCGTAGAATATCAGTTTGAAGGCGGAGCAGACCTGTGTCGGGTGTTGAGCGAGCGGCGCCACATGTGCCACCGGCTCAGCGCATCACGCCTTTGCCGCAATCTGGCGGTCGAACTCAAAGACGCCTAGCCCGGTGCCCACGCGGCGCAGCTGGCTCACAAACTCAGCAAACTCCTTGACGGCGGCCGCCTGGTCCGCCAGCAGGGCGCCCTCTGCAACAGGCGGCAAGCAGTGAGCAGTCGGGCAGGCAGGCAGAGGAGCAGCCCGGCGCACATCTCGCACGCGCTGCACAGCTGGGCCAGGTAGCAGAGGTGGTGGGCAGGGCTGCTCAGCTCCCACTACACCGCAGACCACTCACCCACAAAGTCACACATTTGGCTGTCGCCGTGCTTCTCCGCCACCTCGTGCAGCGCCCGCAGCTTCTGGAAGTTGAGCTTCTCCAGGCTGAGGGCCAGCTCAAACGCATACAGCGCCTCGCCTGCGGCGCCAGGCATACGCGACAACCCACGCATGCAGCAATGTGAGCACCCCGGCCTAGCACATGCCACACACACGGCACCACCACCCACCATGTCACCACCACCAACAGCACCCCCGCCCAGCTATCTCAAGGTGCGCAAACTCAACCACCTGCACCACCGCGTCCCAACAGAGTCCCCAAACAGTAGGAAACAGGCCACCACAGCACCCCCAGCCAGCCCACCCTTCTCCGGGTTCGAGAACTCCATCTCGGGCATCATGATGGACTGCAGCTTGACCTTGCCGCCCCGCAGGTTCTGGTAGTCCATGAGCAGCTCCGCGTGGCCCCGCTCCTCCACGCTCTCCTGCACATGGGGCAGCGGAGCGGGGCGGGACAGCACCACTCAAAAGGCGTGGAAGCTGTGCTGCGCTACGACGCTCCCCTGATTGCTGCGAGCCAGCGTCCCGTCAGAACCACGGTGACACATGTGGCCAGCGCAAGGCCAGCGCAAGGGCAGAGGAACACTGTTGAAAACTGGCATCCGAGCGCATACAAGAACAGAGCAGGCTGGGTGGCGTGCCTTCTTGAAGAAGGCGGCCACGCCCGGCAGCGCCACGTTGTCACGGGAGAAGTAGGCGTAAAGGGAGTGGTAGACGTAGGACACGCTGCGGGGATGAAGGTAGGCTGAGGTGTGTGGTTGAGGGTGGTGATGGTGTGTGTGCACGTGTGGTGTGTGTGTGACCTGCGCACTTCCCGCCCTCACGCCCCTGGCACTGACAGAGATGCACGTGCATACACAAGACCCACAGGCACCAGCACACCGCCTCCTGCTCTCACTTGTACTCGATGCTGCAGCAGCCATGAGGGGGGAAGGCGCGAGAGGGGGTCAGCAACAGCCCTGCCTCATGCCGGCTGGCGCTCCTCCTCCCCCTGCCAACTCATGCCTTGCTGGTGCACACAACTATCACTCTGTACCCCCCAGCCAAATGTTTTTTTCATGCCTCGCACTGCCAGACAGTTGATCTCTTGGCGCACGCTCACTCACTTGATCTGCTCGTTGATGGCGGCCTCGCACTCTGGGTGGAAGTCGACGCGGGCGTAGCTCTCGCTAGTGGCAGCGCGCTCCACTACCGCCAGCTCGGACTGCGGCAGGCAGGGGGCGGCGGTAGGCCATCGACAGGAAGGTGTGGACAGAAGCGTCTAGCCTGGCCAGCGGCTGCAGCCCGGGAGATCTGACAGCGGTGCTTCGCCCATCGCGGTCGTGTGCCAGCCGGTTGCCGTCCTGCTTGGCAGCCAGTCAAGCAAGTCAACCAGGCCAGCCGCTCCGCACCTGGACGGCAGTGAATGGCTCAAACACTACGCCAGTCGTCAACTCGCCCTCCTTGGCGGTCGCACGGCAGGCGACCCTGCTGCGGGCCAGTTGCTGCATGGCGGGGCGCGCCTCGGGCCTGCATGCCACCAGGGAGCAGGGTGTGCGGCGCGGGACAGGGCAGGCCCTGGTTTGAAGTGTATCCTCGTTAGCAGTATGTCGGGGACTGCGAGCCGCTGGCCGCGGCTGTTGCCCGCCACCCAGGGCGGCCCTGCAAGCCGCTGGCCGGGCCGGTGCGCCGCGCGGCAACTCCCCACGCATGCTGCTCTGCCAGGGTTTGAGGTGCTGGCCAGTTTGGTCTGGCTCCCCGACATGCACGCAGCTTGAGGGTGGCTGGGAAACCCTGCCATCGGCTGCCGATCGCGATCAAAGGCTGGTGCACGGCCCTCACCTGACCACACGGGTCGCCGGCACGCCGGCACACGCACACCAGGTGCTCATGTCCACTTGTTGCGGGATTCGGGCGCTGCCTGCGCTGCTGTGGCTCCTTGCCTAGTGTCGTGTAGATGCTGGGAACGGACTTCGGAGCGCGGCCCTGTTTTGCCTGCGGGGCTTGCTTTGCCAGCTCACATCGGCTGGCCTCTCGTCATACGGCGTGAGGCGCCCTGCCAGACTTGAGAGAGAGGCGGGAGGGAGTGTTCAACCTCCCTGCTCCACCCTCTGCCTCTGTCAGCCTGCACAACACAAATACCGCTGCTGGCTTGCCGCCCCTCGCCCCTGCTATGCTCTGCCGGGTCTCCACGGGTCGTCAATTCAGTGTTGCTGCCCAACCAGCGGCGCGTCCCCCCATGTCCTGCTGCCCACCGCAAAACGGGGCTGTAAAGCTCAAGCCTACACCTCCTGCAGCCGTTGCAGGGTGAGGCGCCGCCGCCGATCACTCTGGAGGGGACATTGCTGGCTGGGAGAGTGCAGCAAACCCTGCCGCCGCCGCCACTGGTGCCTCGCCCACCCGCCTGCGCCCTGCCCTTCCACCCCTGCAGGCCCGCCTCGGGCATTCAGGAGCTGCTGGAGGCCAAGCAGCTGGGGGACAACCAGCAGGGGGTGCTGGACAGCGTGAAAGAGTACTATGGCGAGGTGGGTTGTCGTGGTCGGCAGGTGCCGAGCACACCAGCCCGTGCATCACCAGCCGCTGGCCCCCTGCACAGCTGGCTGCTGCGTATTGCTGTCTGGGGCTTGCTTCCGAACCCGGCCCGCCCCTCGCCCCGCAGGTGCTGACTACCAGCGAGGATCTGAAGACGTCGGCGTGCTGCACGGCGGGCTCGCCGCCGCCGCTGGTGCGCGATGCGCTCAAGAAGGTGCCGGATGAGGTGAAAGCCAAGTACTACGGCTGCGGCTCGCCCTTCCCCATGGGCATCCAGGGCCTGCGGTGAGCTGCCAGTCCGCCCGCCCGTCTGCCCGCTTCCCTTGTTCGTCTGCGTGTATGCATTGTTGTGGTGCTTGTGGGCGGAGGACGTGGGGCCTGCCTGCCCTGGGCTGGACTTGGTTTGAGCTACAAGGCGAGCTGGAGAGAGGCAGGTGGCTGCCTGGCTGCCAGGAGGTCCCACACGCCGCTGCGTGCCTCCTCGGCAGGGTGCTGGACCTGGGGAGCGGCAGCGGGCGTGACTGCTACGTGTGCTCGGCGCTGGTGGGCGAGGGCGGCAGCGTGACGGGCGTGGACATGACCCCTGCCCAGCTGGCGGTGGCTAGAAAGTACGCCGATGAGTACTGCACGCAGGTGAGGAGTGATGAGGAGGATTAGGATTGGAGAGGATTGGCATGGCTGGCTCGCGCCCGCTGGTTCACTGGCACCTGACCCTACCCCGCCCTGCCTGCCCGCCCGCCTGCTGTCCTGCCCGCCGCAGACGCTGGGCTACGCGCAGCCCAACATGCGGTTTGTGGAGGGCGAGATTGAGTACTTGGACAAGGCAGGCATCCCAGACAGCAGCGTGGACCTCATCATCTCCAACTGCGTGGTGGGTAGCCTGGCGTGGTGTGGAGAAGAAGAGCGCATGGGTGTTGCGGCAGCGCGGTTGGAGGACGGGCGGCAGTAGCCAGGGCCGCATGCCTCTACCCGCTGGGGATTGCATGGTGTTGACAGGTTGACATCAGATGCCGCCCTTGCCCTGGCACCCGCCGATGCACTGTGCCCTTCCCCCGCTGCTCCGCAGATCAACCTGTCCCCCGACAAGGCGCGGGTGCTGCGGGAGGTGTACCGCGTGCTGGCGCCAGGTGGCGAGATGTACTTCAGCGACGTGTACTGCGACCGCCGCCTGCCCGCCGAGGTGCGTGCGACGCATCTCATCTGCGCGTGGCGCCGCGCCCGCTTCTGTGGCTGTGGCTGCGCCGGATCCTGGTTCTGTGTGCAGCAAACGCAATTTGGGTTGAGGGCAGGGACCGCAGGGCGAACAGGAGCTGCAATCCACTTTCCCTCCTGCCTGCCTGCCCGCCTGCCTGCAGGTGCGCACCCACCCTGTGCTGCTGGGCGAGTGCCTGGGGGGCGCGCTGTACACCCAAGACTTCCTGCGGCTCTGCCGCCAAGTGGGCTTCCTGGACCCGCGCACCCTCAGCAGTGCCGAGATCGAGGTGTGTGGGCCGGTGGCATGCCTGTGGATGTGCAAGGGGCTGGCGTGGCCTCCTGGCAGCGCTGGCTGCCTGCTGCCCGCTCCCTGGCGTTGCCTGCTGCTGCCTGCCCTGCTCACCCTGCACACCTCCACCCATCCCCGTCCCTCGCCCCTCACCGCCACCCCTCCCCTGCTCCTCCTCTCCACCTGGCGCCACTCAGGTGCGGGACCGCGAGCTGCGTGAGCTGCTGGGCGACGCCCGCTTCTTCTCCATCACCTACCGCCTCTTCAAGCTGCCCGAGGCCATCGAGACGCTGTGCGAGGACTACGGGCAGGCGTGCAAGTACAAGGTGGGCTGGGCGGGTGTGCGGTGGTGGCGGCAGGCATGCCGGGGGCTTGATCAAGGCAGGGACCGCTGCATGCGCTTTGCGCCCAACCCAATCAGGCACCTGATGTGCTACTGCTGTTGCCCGCCTCCCTGGCTGCTGGATACCCTCCCATCGCGCCCTGCCTGCTCCCCTGCAGGGCACCATCCCGGGCGCCCCACACAGCTATGCCCTGGACGACCACCACACCTTCCAGACCGGCAAGTGGTACGAGGTGTGCGGCAACACAGGCAAGTGGGGGAGGTGCTCTCTGTGCCGGCAGCAGCAGCGCGCCGGCAGGGTGGCCATGTGTGGTAGCAGCTTGCCGCGAGGATTGGCTCTACCTACAGCTAGTTGCACGGGCGCTTGGTTTCTCACTTGCCTGGTGACAGCCTGCTGCCTCTCCCTGGCTCCTGCTTGTGTGCAGCTGCCATGGTGGGCGACAGCTGGATGGGCAAGCACTTTGAGGTGGTAGGAGACCGCAGCACGCACTACGGCCTGTTTGCCTGCGGCCCTGCGCCAGCTGCCGCGCCGGCGCCAGCAGGCGGCGCATGCTGCTGAGTGGTTGAGCACTGTCAGTCTATCCTCTGTTCCTCTGCTTTTTGACTTGACAAGCCTCCCAAACTGCTGTCTGCTCAGCTGTTCCCTTTCTGAATGGCTCCTCAGCGGTGCTACACCTCTATTACGTGAACCCACCCCTGGTAAGCCATTGTTGTGTAAACTTACAAGTACAAGCTCATGCCCCGCATGCCGACAAGAGCTGCGTGGTGAGAAGGCGGGATAAACGAAAGTAGTAGGCGGGGCATCTAATACAGGGTGTTTGATCCAAAAACGAAAAAGAATTTTGTTTGGCGGGGCGCAAAGCAGCGCAGACAAAATGGCGGGTGGCAAATCGGTGCTCGTTGTATGGGGTCATGGATTGGTCAGTGTGCAGACAGGGATCTCCCTCTCAGTGAGCCGGCACGGTTTGAGTTGAGCTGGCACAGACAGACAAGAACGACAAGAGACAAGGACTCGGGGCGTGGCGGAAGCCAGGGTGTGTGGGCTGCAAGTGTGCGGTGCAGGCCAGACGGCAGTGCAAACTAAACACATGCAGGAATGAATAGTACAAAATCGGGCGACCACACACAGCCAGGGGAGCAGATGGAGCAAACTCGGCCGCTTCGGCACACGGCACTCAGCCTTGGAGGGCATGGGCAACGCTCGTGATCCACCAACGGCTGCGGAGGCCTGCTCGCCTCCACCACCCACCCATCTACATGTCTCCATGCAGCAGTTCCTTCATGGCGCGCAGGTAGGCGGCATCGTTGCGGCTCTTGTTCAGCGCAAACTCCATGCGGTCAACCTGCGGGCGCGGGCGTGCCGGCGCAGGGCCCACATGAGCGGCAGCAGCAGGCACACAACCCGCCAGCAGCCGGTGTCTGCTGCCTGAGTGTAAGCTGCACAGGCAAAGCTCTTGGCTTCAGCCCTCGGGAGCGGCTGCCCTGCGCTGGGTGCCCGACTGCACCTGCCTATCGCGCTGCACCCCCCCACCTGCTTTTGTTGGGCGGCGACCTGCCGGTCGATCTGCTCGCGCCAGGCCATCAGCTGCATGAGGGTGCGCTTGCTCTGCTGCAGCGCCACGGTCAGCACCTCCTCGGTGGCCGACACCCTGCGGGAGGGAGGGCCAGCGGGGCATAGGCATGAGACGCTCGACACGGCAGCATGCATCGACTGGACCGTGCCGTTGCTCCATGGCGGCACACCCATAAACCACAGCTGTTGCCCCGCACTGATGCTCAGTCAGCTCAAGCCCTGGGCCTGCAAGAGCCGAGCTGCACCAGAAAGGCGGGGGCCGGACACCATCTTGCGCTACGGCGGCAAGCACCCACCGCGGCTCTGCTGGCGGCGCGCTGGTCAGCGCCTGGTCGCCCTGGCGCGCCAGCGAGTCTTGCAGCACCGACATGAACTGGTTGTCGAACAGCGGGTTACTGGCCATGGCGTCCTCCACTTCGTTGCGGCTGACACGTGCAACCAGGCGGCCCGCGCGGGAGGCGGGGGCGGCGCGACGGGCGGGTCCCTGCACCAGCGGCGGCGGAGCGATCCGTGCCGCCAACCGTCAGGGTTTGAAGTGATGGACCGAGCTGCAACGCGGGCCGCGTGGAGGAGCGCAGGAGCAGGAGGGGAGAGGTGGTAGAGTTGCAGCAACACCGCCTTGGCGCCCTGCGCACCTTGCAGACGGGCAGGGCCGCTTGGACCGTCGAGGCACACATCAGCATGTCGTTGAAAGCTGCCGGGGGGGTCCCGAAACGCTTGGTGGGCAACGGCTGCGAGGAATGATCGCCAGGTCGCACGCAACGTCAGGTGCAGAAGTCGAAAGGATGTTCACTCCCAACGTGTGCGAGAGCGCCGCGTTTGGCAGTGGCAGCGCTCGTCATGCATAGCACCCGCCTTGCGCGCATGACGCCGCAGCGCGCCGCCGCCCGCTCGGTTCTTTCTGGACGGTTCCTGTGCTTCTGATCAGCTGCATGTTGAGGGGGCTTGTTGGTCAGCTGACTGGCACCTGACGCTGGTGCTGGTGAGTCAGCTGATGCGCCGTGTTCAGCGTCGCCTGTTCCAGCTGTTGCCGTCAGCGGTGACGCCTCGGAAGGCTGTCCCAGCTCGCGCCCCGAATGTGCACAGTACCAATGCGATAGCTTGAGATTGTGGTTAGTCAAGTCCCTTGCAGTACATGCAAGGCAGCTGTTGCATGATTCTTTGCTGTGCATGCACGCGACCGCGTGGCGGCAGATGCCCTGACAGGGCATCCTGCGATCAGCGTTCCCTTTCCTCATGAATCGCCTCTCTCTCCCATGATTTCGAGCAGACAGACGCTCCAACAGCCGGCGTCGTCCCACGTGGGCAGCACTGATGCCCTACCTTCGGCCCGCACAGCCATTTTGTCTGGCCGGGCGGTCGCCCCCGGCCCAGCTTGCCTTCCAGAACAACAAGCGGATATCGTCTGATCAGGGTTGTTGCCAGTACCTTGGGCTGCCAGCCGCCGCCTTGCTCGGCCGCCGCCGCCGCTGTTCAGCGGCCGTCACTGGCAGCAGCAGCAGGCGTGGCAATGCGGACGCAACAGACAGCGGCGATGAGTTCACAGGGCTGGGAAACAGCATGAGCGTGGACAGCAGTGACGGCCAGGTGCGGCGGCGTGGTGGGCAGCACCCCGGGCTGGCGAGCCGCCTGGCTGCCTGGAGCTCCAGCATCACCGGACGCCTGCTGTACCAGTAAGTGCAACCTGCTACGGCTCGCGTCCCTTGCTGCTGGGATCAAATGGTCGCCGCTGTCTGCCAGGCAGGGCCGGCAGGGGCAGGCTCGCCGGTCCGCATCCCTTGCCTTGTTGCCTGCCCACCCTGGCTGCTCGGGGCGCCAGCGCCATCCAGCCGCCATTCGTGCCACCGGCTCTGCAGGTATTACAACTGGCGCAAGGACACGCTCAGCGACCTGCAGCTCTTCCTGCTCTTCAATCTGGCCCTGTTCCTGGTCAGCGCGGGCATTGAAGGAGCCATCCTGCGCGGCATGGGCGGCATGGACAGCGCGGCGGGGGCGGCGGGAGAGGCCTTTGGGGCGGAGGCGCAGGCAGGCGATGCCTGGCTCAACCTGTACATCGTCTTCAAGACCGTGTTTGGGCAGGACATGCCCTCCGTCGACTCTGGCGTGGTCAACCAGGCAAGCCGCAGGAGGGGCCTGCTGTGCGCAGCAGCAGCAGGGATGATTGTTTGCGGCCGGCTGGCAGCAAGGGGTCGCACGGCTGGCGTGCAGCCGCCCATCTTGGTGCCACCATGCTGGCCCCATTGCTTGGTGTAGGTGTTTGCGGTGGCCACTGTTGCAGTGGGCCTGGCCAGCTTCGCGCTGGTACTGGCGCTCGTGGAGCAGGTGAGAGGCTGCGGGGCGTGATCAGGCTCAAAGGCTGGCAAAGCGTGGCCTCCAGCGAACATGAGCTCTACCTAGTTGGTTGCTGTGCTGGCTTTACCTGCCCCACAAAACTCATTTGCCGGTCTCGCTGGCTGTCGCACTGCAGGCTGTCCTCGAAATTCTGACGGTCAACGTCAAGGTGGGCAGCAGCGTGTACGAGGAAGGGCACACCGTGCTGCTGAGCTGGTGCGACTCGGCGGGAGAGATGGAGCAGGTACGACTGGCTGCGTGCTGGCCCCCAGCTGAGCTGCAGCTGGCAGCGCCACGCTCTGCTGTGCTTCTGTCTGCGGATATGTATCGGGATGCCAGGGCGGTCTGCCTGTCGCTGACGCTGCCTGTCGCCCCGTACCTCACAGGTCACTCGCATGCTGAAGCAGCTGTGCCTGGCGTACCGCGCATCTGGGGGCAGGACCATTGCGGTGCTGACGCAGGCGAGTTAGGACAGCAGCCGCGTGCCATGCCACGCGCCTTGCTTGGCCGGCCCACCTGTGCTTCTACTGCAGGCGAGCCAGCCTGTCCACCACCTGCTGTGTCTCCCTCGCTGCCCCTGCCCGCAGCGCGGCAAGCTTGAGATGGAGGGAGCTTTCCAGGCGCGCATCCCGCCGGAGCAGCGCCACGGCTCCACGCTCGTCTTCCGCTGCGGGTCGCCGCTGGACCCCGCCGCGCTCAGCGTGGTGTCGTGTGCCACGGCAGAGAGCATCATCATTTCAGGCGAGGGCTGACGGCGGCGGGTGGCTGGCGAGGCGAGCGCTGGGGCAGGTGGCTGGGACCGTGCCTGCTGGGCCGCATGTGCTGCTGGGGAGTGCGCTGAGCTTGCTTGGCCTGTCCCGTCTGCTGCCCCCTGCACGCAGGCGACTACAGCCGCTCCCCAACCGAGTCTGACTATCAGGTGGTGCGGGCCGCGGTGCTGCTGGACGAGCTGCTGCTGGCGCGGCAGCGGGAGCAGGCCAGGCAGCACGACGGCTGGGCGCCGGCGGCGGCCGGGCGTGCCAGCGCCGCCAGGCGGCCCACGGTGGTGGCCCAGGTGAAGAGCAATGAGGCGGCTGGCACGCTGGCGTTTGCGTGCGGGGCCAGGGTGCACGCCATACCCACCAAGCGGGTCAACGCCCTGCGCCTGGCGCGCCTGGTGCGCCAGCCAGAGGCGGCTGCCATCCTGCGAGAGCTGTCGGACTTTGCCTCAAACGCGCACCTGGCGCTGCACCCGCTGCCCAGCCAGCTGGCGGGCCGCACCGTGGCCCAGCTGCTGCTGCACCTGCCAGACGCCACGCTGGCAGGCTTGCAGCGGATCCAGGCAGCCTCCATACCCAGCAGCAGCGGCACCGGCAGCAGCAATGTCAGCAGCAACGGCAGCAGCAACGGCAGCAGCAATGTCAGCAGCAGCACATCTTCGACCGACGGCAGCGGCGGCCCCAGCCCGGTGCTGCTCAACCCGCCAGCAGACACGGTGCTGGAGCAAGGCGACTCTCTCGTGCTGCTGTGCGGCGAGCGGCCCACGTTCCTGCCAGCGCCGCTCAGCGCCGACACCTCCCCTGCCAGCTCCTCGGCGGCGAGCTGGGGCCCCAAGAGCAGCAGCGGCCGTGGCAGCGGCGCCGCCGCCGCGATGCTGCCCAAGCCCTCAATCGAAGTGAACACCGCCGACGGCGCCTACGTGACCAGCAGCAGTGACGAGGAGGGGCTGAGCGACAGCGGTGGCGCAGGGTGGGCGCCGACGCTCGGCAGCGACAGCGGTGCCGCCAGTGGCTCATACTGCCTACCGGAGCAGTACTACTTCGTGAACCGCAACGCACAAAACATACTGATCTGCGGCTGGGGCTGCCGAGAGACGATGGCAGAGCTTCTGTTTGCGCTGAACAGCGGGCCGCAGGTAGAGTGCTGGCAGTGGGGCAGCTGATACCTGCCTGCGAGCTGCTGAGTATGCCCAGCCAATCTGGCTTGGGCACTCTGACATCCACGCTGTTGCAGAAGGTCCTTGCCTCCCTGGCAACTGATGCCGGCTGCTCTGCCCCTGCCCGGCCCACCTGCAGGCGTTGCCACCTGGCTCGTCTGTGACGCTCGTCAACCAGCACCCGACCTGGTTCAAAGAGGCCTTGGGTGAGGCTGGGCCAGGAGAAGCGCATGCATGCTGCGTTGCTTGCGGCCTCAGCACCTTCCCATCATCCCAATGCCCTGCCAGCAGCCTTCCTTTTTTGAGCATCCTGCCTGCTCCTTCAACCTGCCCCAGACGACATAGCCAGGATGGGTGGAGCCCAGAACATACAGCTGCACCACATCAACGCCAACCCGCTGCGCCGCGCCTCCCTGGCGGCCGCCGTCGACGTCGCCCAGTTCCACGCCGCCCTCATCCTCAGCGACAGCCTGTGGCACAGCGGCGGCAGGGACGGCGCGGCCCATGGCACCCTGGCGGAGCCTCCTGGCACCGGAGGTGAAGCCAGCAGCGCCAGCCCCAGCGGCGACAGCGGCTCGGCGGTGTATGGTGCGGCGTTGGAGGCCAGCATCGGCAGCCAGCAGGATGCTCTGCGCATGGATGCAGCGGTACTCAGCGTCCACCTCAACATCCGCATGCTCCTGCAGGTCGGTCGGCCAGTGGTAGCACTGGTGCCAGCTGTCCCTGCCCCGCAGCTGGTGGCCAACCTCGCTCAGCGCGCAGCAGTGCAGGCTTGCCTGCCAATGGTGTCCACCACCACCTTTCCATGGGACCAACGCTGCTTCTAACCCTATACCTCCTGCAGGCTGCGGGCCGCTCCGATATCAACATTATCTGCGAAAAGCAGATGCACACGGGCACGACTCGGTTCGAGGACATGAACCGCCTGCCGCTGGGCATCACCACCTGCACCGCATCCTTCTCCGCCCGGCTGCTGGCGCAGGTGCGCGGGTCGGGCGTTGCGCGCGACAGGGCAGGGCCGTGGCGGCGGGCAGCGGCGTGGGCAGCGCCATGGCCTGCTCTGGCACCCCTTGCCTCGACACTCTGCCACGTGGCACGGCAACGCTGGCACAGGGCACCTTCTCCACAAACAAACATACACCCCCTGCACGTGCTCCGCTTGGCGCAGGTGGCTGTCGACCCTCGCTTTTGGAGCTTCTACCAGCAGCTGGGCGTGCGGGTGCACCTGGTGAAGTGGGATGCCGCTGAGCTGGCGGGGGAGCAGGAGGAGCTGACGTACTGCCAGCTGCAGCAGCGCGCGCTGCGGTACCGCCAGGTGCGCCCAGCCAGCGGCAGCTGCCGGTGCCGGGCTCCTGCCAACGCCTGGCCAAGGCACCAAGACAGCAATGCCTCTACACGGCAACAGTCTGCAAGTAAACATGCGCTTGCTAGCTACCCTTTTCCATCGCAGGCCATCCTGCTGGGCAGCTACACCATCCCCGAGCGGGACCGTGGCATCCAGCTGGATTTCAACCCGCAGGGCGCAGAGCAGCGCACGCGCCCAAGGGTGTGGAACAGCGGTGACGGCCGCTGCAAGCTGCTGCTGCTGGCCCCGGTGTCGCGCGCTGCAGCGGTGGGAGATGCAGGGTGGCCCGGGGCGGGTGCTGCGACGGCCGGCGGCAGCAAAGCCGCGGGGTGGGGAGCGGCGCTGGCCCCTGCCAAGGCAACGCCCAGCGGCCAGAACAACGGCCTTTCCTGAACCCACTGCGTATGGATGCTTGACAAATGAATGCATAACAACATCTAACCACCTTGCATCTTACATCTATCAACTCTTTACAGACATGTACTATTTAGTTAGTACCTTGTTCCTAATGCAAACACGAAGTTCCTTGCAAATGAGCCTCCTATCTTCTACCCTTGCATAAACACACGCACATTCTTGCCACGATTCGTGATGCTAGGCTGGCATTGATGTGACTTGCTGCAGTATGTTCTTCTCTTCTGCCTCAAGACTGCCCGCGCCCCCTCATCTCCTTCTGCGCCACCTTGCAGTTGGGCTTGTGCTGCTTCCAGTGGCTGCGCTGGCAGGCAGGGCTGCAATATGACACGCTGTGGCATGCTGCGCAGAGCCGCAGGCCTATGCTGTGCTTGCCACACCCGCTGCACTGGTCCCCGAGGGAAGCGCTGGCCCAGACATCGCCGAGCGCAGCCCACTCCGCCTCGACATCCGGCGGCAGCAGGCCAGCCACCTTGGCCGCCTCGCTGTGCACAAGGTCACGCATTAAGCCAAGGGCGCTCCCCCAGGTCCGCGGCCCATAGCGCTTCAGCACGCGCAGCGCATTGCTGCCCTTGGTGAGCATCATCATCAACATCGGGCGGAGGTCGGCGCTGCCGGATGGGCTACCCTCGGAGAGCAGGAGGAAAGAAAGGATGAAGGCGGACTTGCAAAGGTAGTAATGGTTGCGCCGCGCTTCCGCTGCCTCAATTGAGGCACGCAGAGCATTGATGGCTGCTGGAAGCTCTGGCAACTGGTGCAGCGCTTGGGCCAGGAGGCAGTGAGCGGCGGCGCTCCCCGGCTGCAGCTCTGCTGCCCGCCGGCCCGCGGCTTTGGCAGCCGGCAGCAGGCGCTTCTGCGTGCGCTCCTGCATGCATCAAAGGCCGCATGCATGGCAGCGTGGCGGGCTAATGCGCCCAAATCATGGCAGGAAGAAAGGACAACACTACGTACAAGCCCTCGCATTCACCTGGATGCCGGTTGGGGGGTCGACGACCTCAAAGCACAGCGAAACATTCACCAAAAACTCAAGCTGCTCCAGGCTGACCAGCTCAGGCCCGCCTTCCTGCAGCTGCGCCAGCTGCTGCCGATAACCGGCCGCGGCAGCAGGGTCTGCCAGGCGGGCGGCCACTGCCAGCATCAGGGGTGCCATCACTTCGAGCGGCTCGGCTGTGGGGGCCACCGCCAGGGAAGCATGCTGAGAGAGGCATCCCAGGCGGTGCCTTGAATGAGGCCATGCAGCAACGGGCTGGCACAAAACCCAGACCCTGCACCTGCCCACTGTCGTCCAGCACCCGGAAACCCTAAATAAAAAAAGTCAATGGAACCAGCAGGGGGTAGCACTGCAGGCAAGGAGAGGGGACGGGCCATGCAGTGCGATTGCAGGCACGGGGCAAGGCTGGGGCAATGCACCCGCGTTCGATCCTGGCGCAGGAAGGCACCGGTCATTGTCGCGGTGCCAGGGGAAGACCCGCAGGGTTCCATCCCACTCACGAGCACATAGAGCGGCACTTGAGCATCCCCCGGGTATTGCAGTATGTAGCCCGGGGCAAGGAACATAGCGCGCAAAAACTTCAGAAGCGTTATGTCGGTGTCCCGCGCGTGGTTCTGCACAGGGGTCCGTGGCACCTCGAGGGGTTGGGTGAGGCGCAAACCAGCCCAAGGCTTCTCACCGGGGCGGAAAGGCAAACACGGCGCAAACACAGCGGCCCGCTGCTGCACACACACGGCTGCCAAGCTATGCGCCCATGCTCCAAGCTGCCCATCTCACCCTTGGCTTGAATGCAACGACTTCATCGAGAAGGCGAAAAGACACGCACCAGCCCTCCAGGTCCTCATTACGCTGGCCTGGCGGCAAGGACGCCAAGAACCTCTCCGCCTTTTCCAACAGCTCCTCAATAAATTGGATCCCAGGCAGCGGCGGCCTGGACAGGTTAAAGGCACCGCTATCTGCCATGCTGGTGTTACTCGGTGGTACGCCCGGCTATGCTGGTGGGAGAAGAAGGCAGGGCCGCGGCAGTGGCGGTGGTTTAGTGGCGCCGGATCGGTCCCGTGCCCCCTGCTACAGTGTCTGCCGGCGGTGTTGAGAGCTTGAGAGGCCAGCAGGCACTGAAAAGGGAGCAGCAACTCGCTCAATCGGTGGCTGGGGGAGCGGACACGCAGCGCTGGGCTGCTGCAGAACATGTGAAGGCAAGGACGCTGCTGTTTGCGGGGTGCAGAGGTCCAGAGGCGCCAGAAAATGCCTGGCGTGAGATGCCTGCTGGGGTTGTCAGCGCCATGCCCACACATGTGCCATGGCCAGAGCGGCGATCATCACTTTAGATTTCACTTACACCTGATCCTTGCCGCCTGGGTGGTCGCAGTGGGCACAATTCACCTCTGCGCCCCAATTCCCCCAGACCACCGGCGATCCAGCAGGCACACCACCCCACGAGCAATGGAGGATCAAGCGGAGAAGGTGGGGGGCTCGCTTGGGCGTGTGCGGGCGCTCTGCCGGCAGCTGCGCCCCCGCCGCCCACCCTTACCTCACCTCGCCGTCGCCCTCACACCTCGGCGCTAGCATGCGCACAGACCGAGCGCTTTCAGCTCACATGCTGTCAAATGCCCCCGTACTTGCCGCAGTTCCGGCAGCAGAAGAAGCACAATGGGCTGCTGCTGGTGGCGGCGTCACGCGGATACCTAGCTGATGTGCGCACCGCCCTTTTGCCTCCTCTGCTCTCGAGCTCTCCCCCTCACGCCTGCACACATTCCCCCGCACAGGTGGAGGGCCTAGTGGAGCTGGGGGCCTCGCTGGACTGCAGGGACAAGCAGGGGCGCGGGCCGCTGCACTTTGCGGCCGCTCACGGCCGTGCCGAGGTGGCACGCTTCCTGTGGAGCCGTGGCGCAGAGGTGGATGCCGAGGCACCAGGTCAGCGGGGGGATGGAGGGCGAGCAGTCGGGATCCAAGGGGCAGGCAGGGGATGGCTGGTAGGAGGCGTCAGCAGCTGCAGCTCTTGCCTTTGCCTTTGCTAGCCTCTGCGCTTGCCAACACACCCCGTGCCGCTGCTGCCACGTTCCGTATGGTGATGCAGACAGCCGCACGCCGCTGCACCTGGCGGCGCAGGGAGGCCACGCTGAGGTGGCAACTTTCCTCCTGCAGGTCGGCTGCCCGGGCTGCCTGTGGCTGGCTGTTTGTTTTGGGAGGGCAGCAGACTAGCAGCTGCCGTGGCACCGCGCTTTGAATCGCCGCCACTCTCCCCCAGCCTGCACAGCACCCTCCTCCCAATGCCTTCCAGCTCACCTGCCTGCCTCCTGCCCGCCCGGTGCAGAAGGGTGCATGGTCCGAGGCTTATGATGCGCAGGACGACACGCCGCTGCACCTGGCTGCCAAGTCAGCGCCGCTGCCCACACGCCTGGCTGCCTGCTTGCCTGGCTGCCCCTCTGGCTGCCTGACCCAGCGCTGCGCTCTCTGCTGCCGTCCCCAGCCACATCCCACTCACCGCTTCTGACCAGCAACCCCACCTTGCACCACGCCCGACCCGCCCCTGCAGGCACGGCCACACCGACGTGATGGAGGTGCTGGTGAAGCACGGCGCCAAGACGGGCGCTGAGAACAAGCAGGGGCTGACTCCCATGGGCTGTGCGCTAGTTGGGGGCCACGTAGCGGCTGCCAAGCTGCTGCAAGGGTGAGGGGTGGCCGGCACGGATCGGGGCATGCTTGTGGGAGCAGGCTGCGTAATGATGGCAGCCGGCAGCAGCAACACCATGGCTGGCAGCTAGCGTTGCAAAGTGCCTCCTGGCACTGCCTCAATGCCTGCACTGCCCTTCCCCGTTGCCTGTGCGCTGCCCTTGCAGGTGGGGCGCCAGCCTGGCAGACAAGCCACACGGCTACAGCCTGCTGCACTTGGCGGCAGGCGTGGGCAGCCTGTCATCCGTCACCTTCCTTCTGGAGTGCGGAGCAGACCCCAACGGTGAGCAGCCCCCTGCCTGCGGCATGCTGCAGGGCTGCCTGCCTTGCGTTGTGCCGCCAGCACCTCTTCCCGACTCGCTCACAAGCCGATCGTGCCTCGCTGCCGCCCACCCGCCTGCTGCAGAGCACGGCAACGTGGAGGGGGCGACACCGCTGCACAGCGCCGCGCTGGGCGGCTGCCCGCGCTGCACTGGCGCGCTACTGCAGGCGGGTGGCAACCCGGGGCTGACGGATGCCGAAGGGAAGCTGCCAGCGGACCTGGCGGCGCCGGAGGTGCGCTGCCGGCTGCCAGCCTGGCCGGCGGGGGCCTCGTTCTCCTGCCCCGCACGCGTGCCTCTTGCTGAGATGTTGGCATCAAGATGACATGCCATCGAATGTGTCTTCTTGTGCCTTCTTGGCAAGCCTGTAATTTGCTGCAATGGTAATGATGCTGCACCGCTGCCACCCGTGGCGCCGCCCCGCGCAGGACGCCCGCCTGCGCAGCCTGCTGAAAGCCAAGCCATCCAGCAAGCCCGCCGCCAAGCCTCGCGCCACCGCGGGCGGCGCCCTGGCTCCGCCCAAGTCTGCCCAGGAGCAGTTTGCTGAGCTGCCTCAGGTGGGGCCTGGCCTGGGCTGGGCCACGCTGGTGGTGGCGGGAAGTCGTGGCGGAAGTGGTGGTGGTGGTGTGTGGTGGTGTGTGTATTTGAGGCTGAGGGGTCCAGGGCTGTCCAGTTGACACATGCGGGTGACCCGTGTCTAGGAACACACTCACACACACGCACCACCCATGCGTGGCTTGCAGGCGGAGCAGCTGCGCAAGGTGGAGCGCTGGGCGCTGCTGGATGCCGCAGACCTGGCGGCAGCGCTGCGCCAGTACCCGCCGCCAGCAGGTGTGGAAGGGGGCGCCGGCCTGGCCAGGCTACCACACAGTGTTTGGGGGAGGCCGAATGCTGGTGGATGGGGCTCTGCCGCGGGCAAGGTCCCACTGCTGCCGCTGCTGCCGCTGCTGCTCCATGCCCGCACTGCCTCCCGAGGGGCCCACCTGCCCGCTCCCGCTCCCACCCCACCTACACTCGCAGCCGCCGAGGCCACCTCCCGCATCGCCCAGCTGGCGGCCGCCCGCCGCCTGCTGAACCTGCACAAGGCGCAGGCGGCGCTGCACGCCGACGAAGACTTTCAGGCCGATGTGCGGCAGGTGCGCGGCTGTGGGTGGGCAGGTAGCGAGGTGTGTGTGTGTGTGTGTGTGTGTGTGTGGTGCTGGCTGCGCGCGAAGATGGGCGTGCCACAGCACTGCAGTACGGGGCAGGAGGGAGGAGCAGCTCAGGCCGCGTTGTCCGCGTCGTCATGCCCTTCCCACCTGCCTGCCTGCTTGCCCGCCCGCTCACCCCCCCATTCGCGGCCCCGCCCGTTGCTGCTGCAGGCACACGTGCGGGAGGCGATTGATGCCATCCGCGCAGACACCTCCAAGTGGGATCGGTACGCGGCAGACCCCCAGATACTGGCGGTACTGCAGGTTTGCAACTGTACCGCTGATGTGCCGCTTGTGCACCGCCGCTGTCCCGCCGAAACGACTCGCCCGACACGCCCGCTCATGCCTGCGCTCCTGAAACTGTGCTTCAGCTTGGCCTGTGTGTATCTTGCCCTTGGTCTCACACTGCTCTCTTCTTGCCCCCTGCCCCTGCCCCTTCCCCACCGCGGCCACCCGCCACAGAAGATGAGGCGGCTGCACGGCGTGGCACAGGCCAACGGGCAGCGCACAGTGGACATCGAGAGCATGCTGGCGCAGGTAGGGCGGCTCGGGAGCAGCGGAAGTGGAGGGGAGGAATCGGCGGGAGGGTAGACAGGCCCAGCAGCCGTGCTGGCTGCTGCCCGGCCATGTGACTGCGGCGTGCTGCTAGTGGGGCCGCCTCAACATTGTGTTCCGCATCGCCAATTCGCCTGCCTGCCGGCGACCTGCCCGCCTGCCTGTCTACAGCCCGGTTGGGAGAAGCGGGATGAGGAGCGCCAGCTGGCAATCGAGGCGTCCTGCGCTGCGCACCTGGCGGCGGCGGCCGCTGCCGTCGCCGCCGCCCCTGCCGCTGGCAGCCCCGAGGCGGCAGCCAAAGCAGCCTACGATGCTGCCCTTCAGGATGCAAAGGAGGCAGCCAGCGGCAGTCGGGGCAAGGGCGCACCGGCGACAGCGGCACCCACCGGTGCCGCCGCCTCCAAGCTGGCAGCTGCGGGAGGCTCGGCGGCCTCCATCCTGCGGCAGCGCCTCGGCGGAGGCAGCAGCGGCAGCGGCGGCTCCCGAGCTGCGGCGGGGGCGGCGGCAGAGGCGGAGGCGGCTGGGCAGGAGCTTGAGGAGCGGGAGAAGCCTGCGGATGAGGATGCAGATGTGCCAGAGTGGATGAAAGGCGACTTCAGCTGGAGGGTGGGCTGCCTGCCGCTGCCCTGACCGGCTGCCTTGCTTGCATCCGCCTCGCCGCTTCCCTTGGGCAGCTGGCGCACCGACTGCTTGTCGGCGTGCGTCGCCAGCAGTGCCTGCTGCCTGGCCACAACGGCGCCTGACTCCTCCCTGCCGCTACCTGCGTTCTGGCCCACTGCAGAAGGTGGGTGCCGAGTTCTGGCGGCAGACCAAGCTGTCGCTGACCATGCTGGCGGTCTTCCTGGTGCTGTCGTGGGTGGTGCGAGGCCGGCCGCCGTGGGCGCCATGAGCGGAAAGGCGGGCTGCTGGCAGACCGTCGCTGTCTAGTTGAATGGCCACATGGCATGTATAGGATCGAGTCCAGGGTCGATGCCTGTAATTGCACAAACTTGTTTCTTCATTCTCGTCACCGGCAGCGCCAGCGCCCCGTCATGCCTCGCGGGCGGGTGGCCTGGTGGAGGATGGCCTTGGAGGCTGCAAATGCACTCCGTGCCGCGATGTTCGGCCCACCCAGACCAACTCCCAATGCCTAGCCAGCCCCAGCAGCAGCACACGCGAGTGCTAAGCTTCAACGTGAACGGGCTGCGAGCGCTCTTGCGCGACAGGCTGAAGCTGACGCTGTCACAATTCCTAATCAGCCTCAATGCCGGTATGTCGGTGAGGCACGGCTCCTGGTGGGGCCGATCACTCCGCCAGAAGGTAGCCATGCCCTGCTTTTTGCAGACATCGTTTGCATGCAAGAGACCAAGCTGCGGCGGTGCGACATCGACAGGGACCTGGCGATAGTGGACGGCTGGTGAGTTGCCGCCGCCTGCCGCCGCCGCCGCCACTGGCTACAGGCACTGAACTCCTGAACCCCTTCCCGCCTTGCAGGGACGCCTTCTTTTCTTGCTCCCAGTCAGCCACGGGCTACAGCGGCACCGCAACCTATGTGCGCACTGCAGTGGCGCTGCCCTTTGCGTCAGAGGAGGGCTTCACCGGCTGTGCGGCGCTGGCCGCCGCCATGGCTGGGACCACAGGTGTGCAGCACTCCCATGCTCTGGGAGACAGCAGTGTGTCCCAGTGCATGATAGTTGGGCAACAAGTGGTCGAGTCAGAGCGGGCTTGATGCTCAGCTATTGATGCTCAGCTACCAAGCCGTGGCCTGTTCTGCCTGCGTGCAGCCGGCAGCCACAACGGCGCCGCAACAATGGCTGAGCCGCACCCTGCCCTGGCTGACCAGTACACTGTGGAAGAGCTGGCGGTGAGTCGCAGAGCTGGGGACATGCGTCCGCATGAGCTGGAAATGGCAGGGCTGGCGCTCGGCCGTGCTTGGTGGGCACGGCAGAATGCTGCGGTACCGCGCAGCCAAGCGCACGCCTGCCGCCCGCCGTGGAGCCGCGCAGGAGTTGGATGGCGAGGGGCGGGTGACCGTGACCGACCACGGCGCCTTTGTGCTGTTCAACATTTACGGTAGGGTAGTGACACTGCCGAAAGAAAAGGACTGGAAAGGGGAACCAGGACTGGAAAGGGGAACCCGAGGCCGTCTTTGACCCCCACCTGCCGAGCCGCCATCTAACGGTGCCCTCCTCAACACAGCCGAGCTGCCGTGCCCCTGCCTGCAGGCCCTGCCATCACCAAGCAGGAGGTGGCTGAGGACCGGATGCAGTACAAGCTGCGCTTCTTCAGCGTGCGTACCGCAGCTGTCCCACGGCTGGCTGCAATTCGCCGCAGCTGCTAGTTGCAGCGCATGATCGTGCACGCTCAAGCTTATCCTTGCTCTTCCCTGCTGGTCTCTGCACAACATGCCCTGTCCGCCTGCTCCTCCCACCACACCACACCATGCCTATAGGCTTTAGAGCTGCGGTGGCGCGACCTGCTGCGCCAGGGGCGCGCGGTGGTGGCAGTGGGTGACCTCAACATTTGCCCCACGCCGGTGAGCTCGCCCCTTCCCCGCAGCTGCCAGCCTCCCAACTTCCACCCGCACCTGCCCCACTCCCCACGCACGTGGCCTTGTCTGCTGGCCGCAGTCAGCGGCTGTCGCTTGTCATTCAACGTGCGACCATGTGTGGGCGCTTGCCTGTTGCACCCCACCTGCCTGCTGCAGTTGGACTATCCTGTGGCAGACTTGCAGTTCTTCAGGCCATCCCGCCCAGACAGGCTCTGGCTACGCCGCCTGCTGCACGGCAGCACCACCACCGGCGGCTCGAACAGCGGCGGCGGCGGAGGCGACCAATCGCCGCCAGCAGCAGCAGCGGCAGCAGCGGGTAGCAATGGCAACGGGGTGGCAGGTATCTACGGTGCCGGTGCCAGCAGCAGTAATGGTGGCAGCGGTGGCATCCTGGTGGACACATTCCGCGCTTTCCACCCCACCCGCCAGAATGCATTCACCTGCTGGAGCACCGCGACCAGCGCCAGGTGCGGCGAACGAGGCTGCTGCCCTGTTATCAGTTGCGCTTAACTGTTGCTCTGTCTAAGCTCTGTCAGGCTCCTGTTCCCTCCTGCAAGCCCACCCTTTGCCTGGTTATGCTGCGACCCTGCTTCTGCAGGGTGAACAACTACGGCAGCAGGATTGACCTCGTGCTCACAGCGGGGATCAGTGTGGGCAACCCGCCACCGTCCCCTTCAACGGCAGCAGTGGCGGCAGCAGCAGCAGCGGCAGCAGACGATGAGGCGCCACCTGCCGCACGGAGGTGGCACCGAGAGGCAGCATGTGGGCAAGGGGTGGGCGGCTCGCAGGAAGCAGCCGGACGAGGGGTGTGGTGCGTGGGAGGCGACATCTGGCCCGAGCAGCAGGGCAGCGACCACTGCCCGGTGTGGGCCGACTTTTCCTGCGTCGGAGGAGGCGCCTTCCCATGCGCCACCACAGGCAAGCGTGCATCGCTGGCTCTCCAATGCTGGGTGTTGCCGTTTCTGGTGTTGGCCTGCTGCTTCGCCATGCTGCGTGAGGCTGTCACCCTTTCTTCAGCCTTGCATCAGAGCCTGCCATCCGCGCGCCTGCCGCTACTATTGCTGCCTGCCTGCCTGCCTGCAGCCCCGCCCGGAGCCATGCGCTTCGCCTTCAAAGGGTCGCAGCTGAAGCTGCACAGCTGGCTGCAGCGTGGCGAGTCTGCTGCGCAGCTCCTGAACAGCGATCCCGCAGCCAGCAGCAGCAACGGGTCGCAGCTACTCCATGGCCTCTCCACAGCAGAGCAGCAGCAGCAGCAGCAGACGGCGGCCACGCGGCCTCCAGGCAATCACGCCAGCTGCAGTTCACAGCTCCAGGCAGCAGCCTCGGGTCTGGGCAGCCCGCGAGTCGCAGCGGCTTCTGGTGGCGGCAGTGGGTCTGCCTCAGGTGCTGGTGCTGCTGTAGGCAAGAAGCAGGCAAACCTGAAGAGCTTGTTCAAACGGCAACAGCAGGGGACACAGCCGGTGCAGCTTGAGCAGCAGCAGCAGCAGCAGCAGCAGCAGCCCGTTCCGCCGCCCTGGGGCTCCCAGCAGCCTCCATCCCAGCAATCCCAGCAGCAGCAAGGGGAGGCCGGCCCAAATGCTACCAGCGACTTCTTTGCTGCCGAGCTGGCGGCATCCACGGCCAGCCGGCAGCAGTCACCGGAGGCCGCCAAGGATGCCTGGCGCACCATACAGCAGCGCTTCCAGGTGCCGCAGTGCCCGGGCCACCGCGAGCCTGCGGTGCTCAAGAAGGTGAACAAGAGCGGCCCCAACAAAGGCAAGTGCGCTGCAGACAGCATGGCTGGTTGCACGAACAGCTGTCGGTGCCAAGATCGCACTGTTTCGTTCTCTGCGGCAACTGTGCTGCTCTGCCTCTCCCGTGCACGCTTAGCGCTGCAGGCCGCTACTTCTACACCTGCGCCCGCCCCGACGGCCCCAAGCCGCACGGCAAGTGCGAGTTTTTCAAGTGAGCGGTTGGGAGGCGGGCTGGCAGGCCGCGTCCTGCATGGTTGCTCCTGACGGCTACCCTGAATGATTGCCGTACGCGCTTCTTACATGCCTCAGATGGGTGGAGAAGCGGCCTGGCGACCACACACTCACGACATTGGCAGCAAACCTGGCCAGCGGCGGCAGTATCAGCGGCGGCGGCGGCGGCAAGCGGGCAAAGACTTGAGAGGGTGGCTGACTGTACAGGCTTCAATGTTGGGCAGAACATGCCTTGTAGAACCCAGAATCGGGCCATGGAATGGGCAGCTGCAGGGAGGAAGAAAGGAGGCAGTGTTTGGACTGCACTGGCTCAAACCCTGCCAGAGGGAGCACTCATCGCCCTGTCCTCAACACATTCAGTAGTTGTGGCTCTCAACTCACAGTTCGCCTCTCCTCCACACCGCCAGAACCTTGGTCACCCTCTCACTTCCCTCCCAGCTCACCTCGCAACGCTCATGGCACCCAGGGCCCCGCAGGCCCTCCTGCTGCTCCTGCTGGCAGCGGTGGCGCCGCGCGCCCGCGCCGCCTGCAGGCGCTTGCGGGCTAACGTGACGCGGGAGGAGATGTTTTTCAACCATCGGCCGCTAGACCTGCCCCAGTCGCACGACCTCCCTACAAACTTCAGCTGGAATGACCCCAACAACACCGGCGTGTCTATGCTGGTGACTGCGCCTGCGGCCAGCGCTGGAGCTGAGCTGCTTGCGGCCGCCACACGCCGCCGCCATCGATTGCCAAGCGCCTTTCCTGGCCGTGAGAGGCTGCTGACTGCGGGTGCCTGGTCCAGCGCCCGTTCTGCAGGTGCCCTCCTGGAACCAACACATCCCGCAGTACTGCGGCTCCTGCTGGCTGCACGGCACCACCTCCATGATCCAGGTGCATGCTCCAGCGTGGGCCGCCTGGCCGCGGAACGCACGCATGCGGCGTCGCCGGGCATGATGCGGCATGGTTTGGTGGCTCCCCATCTCCCTCCTCACCTCCTTTCCATTCGCCACGCCCCTTGCAGGACAGACTGAAGATTGTCAAGGGCGGCATCGGCCCAGACACCATGCTTGCCCGCCAGGTGGTGCTCAACTGCGGCGCATTCCACGGGTGGGTGGGGTGCTGGCGGCCGGCTGGCTGGCGGCAAGATGTGCAACATTTTGAAGCAGGAGCCTTCACTGCCGGTGGTGTTCAATACATTTAGCATGCAGCTGTTGCGGTGCAGCAAACCTGGCCTCAAGACTGACCTGCCTGCCTGCTTGCTGCCTGGTGCGTGTGCCCTGCCCGCAGCTATGGCCAGGGTTGTGGCGGCGGCGATGTGATTGATGTGCTTCGCTATATGGCGCACTTTGGGTTGCCAGATGAGAGCTGCCAGGTTGACTCAGCTGTCATGCCTGGCTTCATCCAGCGGGCATGCTTGTCACGAGGCAGGACACCCTACGCTTGGATGGAAATGGTATGACCAGGCAGGCCCTCGCTTCACTGGCTGCAGCCGTTTAGCGCAGACGACCACACCAAGTATGGGCGGCACGCCAGGAAGTGCCCCGCCGACGGCTACTGCACCAACTGCATGCCACTCAAGGTGTGGGCGGGCTGTGGCTGCCAGCTTCTCCCGTTTCTTAGCAACAGGCTGTGCCACACCGTTGAAAGCTGGTGCCGAGCTGGCTGGCGATGTACAGGCACAAAGCTGGCTTGCCGCCTTCCCGCGTACCCGCCCCACCCGCCTGGCAGGGTAGGGACACGTGCTGGTCGGTGCATACCCCGGTGCGCTACTACCTCAGCGCCTTTGGGAAGCTGGAGGAGCCTGGCGAGCTGAGCATGATGAACGAGTGAGTGGCCCCTTCCTAGTGAGCCGCAGCGGCAGGCAAACGCGGAGCAGCAGGAGCAGGAGCAGCCAAGGAGAGCTGGAGCAGAGCTGTTGGGCGCAATCGCGGTGCAGGCGTCAGCCCGCCCGGCCTTGTGTGGGCCTTGCTGTGCAGGATTTTCCACAGGGGGCCCATCACCTGCTCCATGGCCACGCCTGAGGTGCCACACATACTGTGCTCAGCGTGCACAGCGCATAGCATGTGCTGCCCCTGCATGTGAAGGAGCACCTGCGGGCCAGCGGCAGGCAGCACCTGCCAGTGGCCATACCGGGTGAAGAACCTCCCAGCCACCCCATGGCATTCGCCCGCCATTCACCGCCACCAGCCACCGTCTGCGCCTGTTCTTGCTTCCCTTGCCCGCAGGTATTTGACTACGGCCTGCACACGAGCGTGGACGTCTACCCCTCCAACATCTCAGACCCCAGCGAGATCGACCACGATGTGGAGGTGGTGGGCTGGGGCCAGGAGGAGGGCGAGCACGGCCTCAAGTGAGCGCAACGCTCGGCTTCCCGCCGCCTCAGCTGCTCCTGCCAGCGGCTGTGGCAGAACCGGCACGCATGCACTTGGCTGTTTGAGCCCCAGGCGCTGGCTGTGGGTGCCCTGCAGGTACTGGGTGATCCGCAACAGCTGGGGCACGTACTGGGGCGAGATGGGCTTCTTCAAGATGCAGCGCGGGGTCAACGCTCTGCAGCTGGAGGCAGGAGACTGCTGGTGGGACTATTGGCGGCCGCCACGCAGCATCGGCGCCGCACTGCCTGCACAGGATGCTTGTCGTGTCACCCCGCAATGGCTGCAGGTATGCCATACCCACCTGGGAAGATGAGCAGGCGGTTCGATCCGGGGAGAAGGTGCGTGGCGAACAGCAGGGCCATGTGCGCAACGCAAGGGGCCGCCTTCCGGTATGCGGTGCGGTGTACTGCCGGCCGCCTCATCGCAGATTGTCCAGGCCTCTCCTTGGCCGGCCGCTGAGGAACGCAGGTGGGCACGATGTGGGGCATCTTCCCTCGACGCGAGGCAGAGCACATCATACCACAGGGCCACCGCCACCCACACTTCAAGCGTGCTTCAAGCGTGCAGCCAGCGGCGCGGCAGGCGCAGGGAAGCGGCTTCGCGGCGGTCTGAAGCAGGAATGCGGCAGCGTAGGGTGCATGGCGTCTGCTCTCCTGCAAGCAGGGTTGCTTCTTTGGGTTCTTTTCTCTGCAGATCTTGCTGGATTCACAGTGTGATGCGGCGGCGCCATGCGGGCGCTGCTGCTGCTGTCTCCATCCACATTCTGTTCCGAGACCGCGTTGTCCCCTTCATTCTCTCTGTGTCACACCACTGGACTCCTTGCGAGCATGCCGGTGCAAGCTGCTGTCTCGGCGCCGCTGCCCCGCCAGGCGGTGCTCTCAACCCGAAGCCAACGGCGGCGCCGCGCCGTCACCGTGCAGATCTCCTCCTATCTGACGCGTCACAGCTCAGAGCAGTTGCAGCGGAGCGTGATGGCATTCTGCCAAGCTGTGAATGCGCACGACTTAGACAAACTGCACAGCTATCTGTCCCCCAAGTGCGTTTGGAGCGACAGGGTTTGGTCCAGCGTCGACCTCGTGGGTGCAGCGAAGGTGCGCACCAATCACCGATCACGCCGCCGCCGCTGCCGCCGCCGCACCCGCTTGGCGCGATTGCATCTCCTTGTTACTAACCGAACTCTGCCCTACCCGAATGCCTCCTGCCCTTGGGACTTAATACTGCTTTGACAGACTGTAAAGAAATCAGCTGCTTGCCGCTCTTTTTCACCAGCTGCCAACTCCTGGCTCCCGCAGGTGGCCAAAGTGTACAAGGAGACGTGGCGGTCGTATCCTGACTATACCCTCCACACAGAAGATGTTCTGGCGCGTGATGATTCGAACACGGTGGCGGTGCACTTCACGGCCACGGGTGAGCTGCGCCTGTTGGAGCGGCGCGGCTGCGGCATGGTCTGCATGTGCGCATGCTTGCCTGGCAGCAGCAGCCTGTGCATGCGGCACTGCACTCGGGGAGCCTCGCCGTTTCACCTGACCACGCAGCGGCACGCTGCTGGTGCAGGCACCTGCTTCGGCGAGTGGCGGGGGCACCCGGCCTCGGGCCGCCGCAGCACCTTCTCAGGTGGGCTGCAGGGCATGCCAGCCTGTCGCTACTTTTGGTCCAGGCCTGTTGCTACTTTTGGTGTGCATGTTTGTGCGCATCCCATGTGCAGTGATGTTAAATGTTTTTTTTTGTTCTGCAGGGGTCAGCTTGTTTGTGTTTGATTCCGAGCGGGACGACCTCATCCAGCAGATCATCACCTACCGCCAGCCCAGCAGCGAGGAGTATGCCTTCTATGTGGGCCACGAGGACCTGTGAGGCAGCAAGGGCCTGCTTGGCGGCCACGTGTGGACCCCAGGACTATGAACGATGCCAGCCAGCAACCTGCGGCGCCGATTGATACTATGCATGTTGCTCAATGATGATACGACGCCGAACTCGCTCTCCTGCATCGCTTACACTGATTTGCTAAGCTATGTGCCTTTTTCCGACTAAGAACCAGCCTCTTTTCCGTGCATCTCATTTTTGCTTCCCACCCAGCTCCCTCGCTCTGCTCATCAAAATATCTTCAATGTGATCCTGTAGCCAACTGGCATGCTTTACATGAAACTCGAGTCAATTCAAGTTTCAGCTGCTGAAGTGTGCGGCTGTCAATGTACATGGCGCCAGTGGGTCCCACCACTGGGGCAAACTGAATCTGCAGTGCGCTCTCTGGAAGCAGGCCCGCGCAGCGAGCCTCGATGAAATGAAATGTACAAAACAGGGTGGGGTCAAAATCTGAGTGACATATGACACAATGTGGTGCCGCTCAGGCTGGCTGTGATGTTGCGCCACCGCCTTCACTCGCCGTCAGTGGTGATCAGGGTGGGCTTGTAAAAGTCGGGCGCCTGCAGCCAAGCACACCGTGCTGTGACCTTGAACGGCAGCCGGGCATCGTGCAACAGAATCGGGCATCGCAGCTGCCCCGACTCACCTCAAAGCCCAGCAGGTTGAGGAAGGTGGCCGTGACGTTTGCTAGCCCGGCATTGGGCAGGTCGTCCCTGCACCAAGCAGCGGCAGGCACGCGGAGATGACATGAAGCGCCCCCAGGAGCCCTGCTGTTGCGCATGCATCGCGCACGCATCGTGGCCTCCATACTGCCAGCAGCAGCCTCCTCGCGGCACCACTGCTGCCCCTTGCCTGAAGCGTACACTTCCGGGCAGGCCGGGGCCGCCGATGGCGCAGAGCACCGGGTTCAGGGTGTGGCTGGTCAGCTCCACCGGCTTGCCGTCCTTTATCACCGGGTTGCCCGCCTTGTCCCTCTGCAGCAGCACGATCCACCCCTTTCTGATGGGCGGTTGGCAGATCACGGGGGAGCAGTGGCCACAGCGCACTGCAGCAGTTTGCTCTTCAGAGCAGATCGACTTGAACGTGCCCAGCGGTGCCGCTGCCTCTCAGCCTCCCCCTCCTTGTGCTGGCCGCACCTGCGACATCTCCTCTGCATTGCCGTGGTCGGCAGTGACCAGGAAGCGCCCGCCCGCCTGGTCCACAGCATCCAGCAGCACCTGCAGGCACCGTTGAGGAGGAAGGCAGTCTCGAGGGTTGCCACGCAGCTATGCACGGAGGCCACCAAGGTCGGCGACAATGCCGGCAACAGCAAACACAGGCTGGAGGGTTTGGAATGGCGCCCGCTCTCACCTTGACACACTCGTCCGTAACTGTCACCGCCTCAATGGCCGCCTTGAGGTTGCCGGTATGTCCCACCATGTCTGCAGGGCAGAGCAGCCAGCAGCCAGCACAGCAGCAGCCGAGTGGACGCCAGCCGCGTACTGCCAGCATGTTTTGCAGCCAGCCCCAGCCTCGCGCCTCGTGCTAGCTCCGCTTCCCTCCTGACATCAACCGTCTTAACCTCCCCTGTGCGCCTACCTGGGTTTGCAAAATTGCAGCGCACAAAGTCATACTTTCCGCTCAGCAGGGCCTGCTTGGTGGCGGCCGCAATCTCTCGCGCCTTCATGGCGGGCGCCTTGTCAAATGAGATGCCCTGGTCGCTGGGGATCTGCAGGCCCGCAGGATGGTGTTGTGCAGCGCAGGGAAGGCGTGCTCCGCAAGTCGCCAGCCACATCAACTGTGGGGTGTGGCCTTCGTTTCACAGTAGGGGCAGATGCAGTGCGGTACACATGGCAGTACCACCATCTTACCTCCTCGAACTTCTCCAGCTTGGGGTCCAGGTACCCGCTGCGGTTGCCATTCCAGAAGAAGGTCACGTGGCCTGCGGTTCAGGGGCCGTGACAGAGGCAGAGGCCGACGCGCAGGGGTACATCACTTGACTGCTGCCTGCGGCTCGACCATTGGGCATCAGCCGTTTCCACTTGGCAAGCAGAGCGACCACAGACCTGCATCCATGGCAGCTAGCACAGTGCCGGCCCACAGCCCGCCTTCACCCACCTATCTTCTGGCTCTCGCTGCAGGCAAACACGCGCAGCCCGGTGCCCACCACATACTGCTCGCTGGCGCGCTCGATCAGCGGCGGCGGCACCAGGAAGTGCTTGGGCAGCAGCAGGTCGCCATCGTACTGCATGATCCCCGCAAACCGAAACTGCGGTACAGAAGGGGCAGGGGTGAGGGCCAGGGAGAGCGAGGGAAGGGAGCATGTCAGGCCGCACAAATGGATGGGGTGACTGGCAGGCTCCCCCTGATATTGCTTGTTCCAGGGCTGGAGAGAGGGCTGCTGCCGCCAAGGGCTCACGTCTGGCCAGCGCTTGCGGTCAAACTTGTCAAACTTGGGGTACTCGAGTGCCTGAGCTACGCAGGATGTGTGGGCATGGGGTGAATGATGCCAGTACGCAGCCGGTTGCCGCTGGCTCCCTTGCAAGGCAAGGCACGGCGGCAGCAGCCCCCCACCTGGCTGATCTCCACCATGCGGTCGGCTCGGAAGTTGAAGGTCACGACGGCATCGCCATCAGCCACGCGCCCCACTGCGGAAGAATGGGCAAACACAGGCGTGCCGAGGCAATTGGCGGGCTGGTGAGGTGCCCATGCACACGTGTGGTGAGGCGGGCGGCAGGGGGCCTGCTTTCATTGCAGCGCCGCGGGCCCGCTGCTCACCCGACTCGCCGTCCTCGCCCACCACGACCCAGGCCTCGATGTACTGGTCTGCAGAGGGGTGTGCGCCCCCGCAGCAACCAGGGCATGGTGCCCAGCTGAGCGCACATGGCTGGGGCTCTGCCACACGCCCAGCAAGCCACCATCAAGTCCCTTAAGTATATGCGCCACTCTCTGGCCTGCATGCACGAGTCGCCTCCACCCACCCGACACGGTGTTGCCCTTCTTCAGCTCCCGCACACCCTGCACAGGGTCCTTGAAGCGGTGCGGCGCCTCCCCCAGCACGTGCGCATAGTAGCCGCGCTGCACCACCCGCCAGTCTGACTCGTAGCGGTCCATGGTGACAGCCATGCGGCCGCCGCCAGAGGCGATGCGCACGTCGACGTCCAGGCGCTGGCTCAGCGCCGCCACGTCGCCCTGCAGGCGCTCCACCCACGCCACGGCGGTGTTGTCGTTCACGTCTCGGCCGTCTGCGGCAGCGTGGCGGGGCGGGTGGGTGGGTGGGGGTGGGGGCGAAGGGATGGCCTGCAGCAATAATGAATCGAAGGACAGCAGCTGCAGCCTGCTATTCGGGCCCTGCACCACCCAGTGCCACGCGCTTGACAGTACCTGACAGTACGTGCAGGCGGATGCGCTTCACGCCCTGCTGGATGGCTCCTTCCATCAGCAGCGTCAGCTGGTCGTACCTGCCAGTACGGGGCAGGCCAGGAGCCGGAGAGGCAGCGGTGAACGGGCGCAGCCATGACTGGCAGACCCCGGCCTGCTGATTGCCCGTTTCAAGCAGCAGCCCCAAGCTCCGCCAGGCCAACTGTTCTGTGCCAACCAACCTGGAGTGCACACCGCCATCTGACAGCAGGCCGATGAGGTGCAGCGTGCCGGCCACGGCGTTGGCCTCGATCCACTTCCAGCCATCCAGCTTGAACAGGCTGCCTGCAGAGAAGAAGTGCAGGAGGCACCATATGGGTGTTGGAACATTAGTGCAACGGAAGACTGCAAGAGCAGGTCGCTTTGCCTTTCGCCATGGCGGCAGGCTCCGTTGCAGCTTGCAAGGCACGGCCCTGCCCCTGGCCCTCGCTCTGGCACCGCTAGCGCCGCCCACCTGTGGCCAGCGCACCGTCCACACACTTGGCACCCTGATCCACAATCTGCCCCGCCCCCAGCGCATTGTGCCCCACCTGCAGCAGCGCAGGAAGGCAGGAAGGTGGGCAGGCAGGGTCCAGGCAGGCTCTCGCCTCAGCTGCCTTCACAGCCAGCCACCAGCTGAGGTGGGTGGCCCGAGCACAGCATGGCGGCTCACGCCTCACCTCGCTATTGCCCATGTCTGCAGGGAGGGGAGGGGCAGCGAACCAGGGACAAGCAAGCATTTGGTGAGCAAGGGAGTGGGTCCAGCTGCAGATCATCCACTCCGGCTGCTCCACACCCATCAGCGTCACACCTGCGTCTGTGGGCAGGCCCACCGCCGTCCCATGCGCCTTGAGCATGCGCCAGCGACGCGGCGCCAGCTCCTTCAGCGCATCCAGCGTGGGCGTGTTGGCCTGCTCCACAGCGTTGAACTCGTCATGGAACCTAATGCGGCAAGGTGTGTGGGGGCGGGTGTGAGGAGCAGCTTGCTGGGCAATTCAACAGCAGGCCTAGAGCTGCAAGCCAGACTAGACTGCTGCCATCGCCCCCTGGAGACCGCACTCACTTGCTCTCTCCCAGCCCGTCCATGACGATGAGCAGCAGCGGCTTGCCAATGCGCGTTATGGTGGGGTGCGGCGCCAGGCGGAAGTCGCCGGCCGCCGCCTCCTCCCGCAGGGCCGCCTCGCTGTGCTCCGGCAGCCCCTGGCCGAACTGCTCGTCCGCCAGCGTGCTCCTGTGGCCCTCCGCCATCGGGCCGGGGCCCCAGCGACGAAAGTGGGAGGCTGCAGAGGCAGAAGAAGAACCCTGGTGGTCTTGGGTGTGAGGGTGGTGATCTCGTGGTTTGGGTTTTGCGCCCAAAAGATGCAGCGGTGCTTTTTGGCACTTGCACTACGTGGCAGAGAGAAGAATGGCCCAGGAAGCAAGCCAACGCGGCCTTCTGACAATTATTCTACACTCTCAACAGCCTCCTGGTGGCAGGAGGCGGGCGCTTCAGCTAGCCAAGCCGTCGAACCACCGCCGCCCTGCCCTAGCGCAGCGAGCCTGAGCTCCGGTGCGTCGCCCTCTTGGGCAAGAGGCCGGTACGTGTGCGACGAGCGCTGCTGTACGCCGCATGCGCCTTTGGGGTGGCGCTGCCCGCCGCCGCTGTCGCCTCGCGCCGCCCGCCGCTGCCGCGCCGCGAAGCTTAAGAAGGGCGGCAGCAGTCAGTACGTGCTGCCTGCTCGATACACGCTTCCTAGATACAGCCGCTGCCTTTTCAGTGGGCTGCAGTCCGGTGCACGCCTTGGCATGCCCGGTTCTGGTTGTAGCCCCCTCCAGCAGGCCGCCGACATGCACCCCTGCGCTGGCACCACTGCTGCTGCCGCCACTGCCGCCGGGCTTCCTGTTTATCAACCAGCTCTGCGTTTTTTTTTTGACTGGTGTGCTGCTGCAGCCGTGCCCGGAGTCGTGAGCATGCTGGCCATGCTGCTTCGCGCGCTGGCAGCCCCATCAGCCAGCGGCAGCGTGGTGCGCCCGCAGGCGCTGCCGTCGCTCACACGCGTGGCCTGGCGTGTGGCCGCGATGCCTGCGTCATCATCAGCAGCAGCAGCGTTGCTAGGCTGCTCCTCTCGCTTCTGGAAGCTGCCAGCCGGCACGCACGCGCCAGCCCGCCAGCTGAGCAGCAGGAGCAGCAGCCTGCAGGCGCCCACACAGCTGCAGCCACCCACGGAGCCAGACCCATCGGAGTGCTGCGGCCGGGGCTGTGCCGAGTGTGTGTGGACGGCCTATTACGAAGACGTGCAGCAGTACAATGCTGAGCTGGCAGCACTGCACGGGGTTGCCCCGCCTGAAGACCCCTTTGCAGCCCTTGAGCGCAGGCTTGCGGAGCAGCAGCGCCAGGCGGAGCAGCAGGAACAGCAGCAAGACCCCGTGGCAGCAGAGGCGCATAGTGTGCCAGCAGCGCCAGCAGCTGGAGCGCCAGCGCCGCCGCCAGAGCCGCCTACACAGCAGCAGCAGCAGCCAACACGCGGTGGCTCGGAGCCCGCGTGGCAGCAGCGGCCGCAGCAGATGGCACTGCATGGTGCATTGGCTGGAGTTGGCTGACCCACGGCATAGCTTTTGATAGGCTTGTAGTGACAAGAACAACCTCCCATCCTCCAATGCCACAAGCCCTGTACCATGAACCACCTGTGTCAACGACAGCTGTGATTTTGCCGCACTTGCTCCTGCATCCTCTGCCCCTCCTGTCCCTGCTTGCCTCTTCTGATGACTGCCTACTCTTCCGCCCCATGCATTGCATGTTGCCTTCGCTCACTGTTTGCTCGTATGCTTGGTTCATGTAACTTGCATGTTGCGTGCACAAGCTTGTCTGGGGCAGCCGCAGGAAGCAATGATGCATGGACTGAAAGGTAGCAACAATCCTGGGGCTCTCAAGCCAAGAGGGGCAGGGCTCAGATGGCACCACAGTCCCGCAGCCGCTGGATCTCGGCATCCCCCAGGCCCAGCTCGCTGCGCAGGATATCATCCGTGTGCTCCCCCAGCTCTGGGCCCGCCCACCGCGTGCCGCCAGGCGTGCTGCCCATGACCGGAAGCATGGCAGGCAGCGTCACCTCCTGGCCGCCTGCAGGAAGGGGACAGGGCAGCCAGGCAGGCACAGTTGAGACTGGGGCCTCCATGAAGCAGCCTATGGGCCAGCACCGCAAGCTGTCAGGTGGCCGAGATGTAGAGCATGTGGCAGCCCAGGTGCTCACCAGAGGGCGGCGCCGCCTTCTGCAGCATGCCGCGGGCTTGGTACTGCGGCTCCGCAGCAATGTCTGCGGTACTGAGGATGGGCCCCGCTGGCACCCTCGCCTCGTTCATCGCGGCCATCACCTCTGCCGAGCTGTGGCTGGCCACCCACTCCTCAATGACCTGCAGCAGGCAGCGGGGGCAATACAGCACAACCCGAAGCCGGCATGTTTCGTTCGGGGGTGAAACGGGCTTGCAGCCTCTCCTCAACCATGGGCCAGCCTCCCATGTGCTTGCCAAGCCGCCAGCGCACCAGTACCAGGCCCCGCTGCTGCCGCCACCGCCGCGCCTGCATGCCAGCCCACGCAGAAACGACAAACCCCCTTCCCCCTCACGTCAAGAATCTCCCGCTCATTCTCGCATCGCTTGCTGTCGGTCGCAAACTTGGGGTTATCGATGCCCATGTCGGGCCGGCCCATCGCCGCAATCAGTCTGCTATAAACTGAATTCCCGTTGCCACCGATCACCACATACACGCCGTCCTGGGCCTTCCACGTCCCGCTGGGGACCACGCCTGTGAGCGTGCTACCGCTGGGCGGGCGCACGAAGCCGTGCGCCGCAAACTCTGCGGGGTGGAAAGGTAGGAAGGCGGGCAGCGGAGCAAGGTGGGCAGGAATGGAGCCAGGCCGTGCAATGAAGGCACCCCAAACATCCAGCCAGGCAAGCGCCTCCTCGTCGCACCGGGGATGCATCCCTCCAGCATATTGAACATGGACTCGCTGATGGCGGCATCTACCACCTGCGGTACAGGCAGTACATGGCAGTACAACCAAATTCTGACACCTGCGGCGTAGTTCCACATGCCACGCCCACAACGTAAGGCACTCAGCAGCCGCGCTTGCTGCCCGCCAGGCGCACCTGGCCGGTGCCAGCGGGCCCCAACCGGGTGCGGTGCAGCAGCGCCATGACGGTGCCAAAGGCGGCGTGCAGGCCCGCCAGGCTGTCGCCCAGGCTGATGTTGGGGCGCACGGGGGCGCGGTCGGAGTAACCGTTGATGTATCTGCTCTCAGGAGCGGAGACTCCCGGGCAGCAGGGCAGGAGTGGGTCAGGGAGGGCAGAAGAGCAGGCCTACGGCGCACCGGCATGCCGACCGACAACCCTATTGCTCCCGGCACCACAGCGCATGGGCATCTGCCCTGCTCCTGCTTCGGCCTGCTGTGCTGCCGTGCTGCGAGCTGCCTGGCCCACCTGAAGCCGCCAAACGACTCGCAGACGCTGGCGTACCCAGGCAGGTGCGCCTTGGGCCCCGACTGCCCATATCCCGAGATGCGAGTGTACACCAGCTCCGGCTTCAGGTCGCCGGGGCCTAGCTGCAGATCACGTGCGCGTTGGGTGCAGCCTTGGACACTATGGTGCAGCCCTCATTTGGGGCCAGGCAGCCCTGCCTCCAGCGACCCCAGACGTGCGGCTTGCCCAACCCTGCCAGCCAGCAGCAGCCGCCCCAGGATGCCCACCTGCCACTTCTCCATCACCCCCGGCCTGAAGTTCTCCAC